GATTTGAATATTTTCTTGACATTCTTTTGGACAGATTCCAAGATCACTTTGCAGTACATCAACAATGAATCTAGTAGATTCAAGACACACTTTGCAAATTGAGTTTCTGAGACCAGAGATGTGTCTAAGTCGTCAGTGGAGACACTGTTCAGATCCCTTACCCCAGTAGATGATGCATCTCGTAGGCTTTCAGCAGACCAGCTTCTAAGCAGTGAGAGATGGTTTAGCAGTCCCACATTTTTGTCAGAACCTGAGGAAGAATGGTCCCAGACAGATTTTGGTGAACTGCCAGAAGACGACTTGGAAGTCAAGAATGAGAAGGCCATATTCACCTTGATGGCTTTGGGCAAGTTGCATGAACTACTTGTCAGGTACTCTTCTTGGACAGTGCTGCAGAAGAAGGTAGCCTGGTTGTTGAAGTTCAAAGCATACCTGCAGCATCGTAGAGACAACAACATGGACGACAGTGTCAAGTACCTAACAACAGAGGATTTGGAGAGAGCAACCAGTGCCATAGTGAAGCTCATGCAAAATGAAGTTTATCAAGAGGAAATTGGAGACTTGAAAAAACGAGGGAACGTCAAGAGCTTAAGTGGAATTATTAGGCTGCAGCCAGTGTTGGTAAATAGTATTTTGAAAGTTGGAGGCCGCATTTCTGAAGCACCCATTTCATTGGAAGCCAAGTTCCCTATGATTGTTCCCCCAAAACATCATGTGACTCAATTGCTGATCCAAGCATTTCACCAGAAGCTAGCGCATGCTGGTCAGGATCACATATTGGCACAGTTGAGCGAAGAGTTTTGGATACCCAAAGGAAGGTCTGCCGTGTGCAAGGTTGTACGATCATGCCTTACATGCAAGAAACAGGGGGCAGTTAGGATGGAGCAGATTATGGCCACCTTAAATGCATTTCGTATCACAACCTATGAGCCATGCTTCACGTATACCGGAGTCGACTACTTTGGCCCACTAAATGTCAAGAGGGGAAGATCAGTGGTCAAGAGATGGAGTGCCATAT